TACATAGATCAAAATATGTGTTTTGTATATATTAATATGTAGTAAATTGGACGACTTAGTTATGGAGAAAGATGGTACTCCAATGAGAAGTATAATTTTGACAAGTTGGCGAAGTGGTAGCACATTCCTTGGCGATGTCATAAATGCACATCCAGCAAATTTCTATCATTACGAGCCATTACTTGATTTTGGAATTGTACAAATCAGAGGTCCACCACTTGCAGAGGAAGCACTTCAAAATATTGAATCCTTGTTAAATTGCAATTTTCACAATCTTGGTAAGAATCTAGAATTAAATATTATTACGATTAAAACTTATAACATAAGAAATAATTATAAAATTATTTTTATATAATTTTAGATAGATATTTAGAATATGGGAAAACTCATCCATGGGTCTTCAATCACAATACACATTTATGGCGTCAATGTCAAATACATAAAAAGATCTGTTGGGATTCGCGTTTCGTTTCAAAATTTTGTCAATTATTTCCATTTCAATCGATGAAATTAGTACGTTTAAGATTACGTGCGGCAGAAGATCTTTTAGCTAAAAAACGGTAAGTTTATATATCTTCATCTAATATCATGTAAATTTAGTTCTATGTAATTCACTATTAGCCTTTTAGTTTAGGGATAAGATTGGTATTGTTGGTACGTGATCCACGAGGAATTTTACAATCAAGAAAGCATAGAGAATGGTGTCCTACCAGTCCAGATTGTTCAGATCCAGCTTTGGTCTGTGCTGATATGGTTTCAGATTTCAGTGCTGCAGTACGTTTGATAAAAAAATATCCACATTCTTTCAGGTAAATATATGAAGGAAAAAAGAAAGAGAAAAAGAAAAACAAAAAGTAGAATCATTTGGTCAAATTAATTGAATGAAGTTGGATATTCATTTGATCAAATACATTTTTATCGTAGTATCTCGTAAATGATATCAATAATTAAATAATTTTTTAATAATATATATAGATATATATATATATATATTTGATATATGATATGATGTGTGACACACAGGGTGGTGCGATATGAAGATCTATCAGTAGAACCGTACAAATATGTGAAGGAACTTTATACATTTTACGGTTTGGATTTCCATCCTAATGTAAAAAGATTTTTAGATACTCATACAAAAAGTGACGTTGGTGGTGTATCGAGTACATTTCGTAATTCCAAAGTAGCCCCATTTCATTGGAGAACCGATTTAGAGTTCGAAGAAGTTGATGAAATTCAAAGAGTGTGCGGATCTGCTATGAGATTATGGGGATACGTTGAAGCAATTAATGCTACTCATCAAAAAGAATTTGATCCTATTACGGAATATCAACTACAATTGTGACATCTAATGTATAGAATATTTCCAACTGATATGGTGTACAGTACAGTAGTATAAAATATCGAGACTATAAGAATTAGTTATTTTGATTACGTGCAGCACATCGAGATCATCGAGTATGGTACACAATTCGTGAAAATAATATTCATGATGGATGGTGTTCCATAGGGACATATACTCAGGAATATAGTAACAACATACCACCTGTGAATATTTCAATATTCAACTATCGTAGTTAGAAAATTTTTTCAATTCTGGATATATTTAATCTGAGAAGACCAATGGTGATGCCGTTCCTCAATAAAAATAATAATAAAAAGAAAAAAAAAAGGAAAAAAAAGGAGAAAAAAAAGAAAAAAAAAAAAAAAGAAAAATGAAAAGAGAAAACAGAAAACAAGAAAAAAAGTAATATAATAATAATAAAAGTCTCTTTAGAAGTATTGCGCCAATGCGAAGAACAAGAATAATTTGTTGTAGGTTTTAAATGATTGAATTTGTTAGGTCGTATAAATATACCTAACAACACATTTTGACACAAAAAAGAAAAACGAACTATAATATCTACTCATATCAGTGAATCTCTAGTTAAATTATCAAAATTTGTATGACCCTCTCTGGAGAGCCATTTCTTAGATACGAACAAGAAAACTAACTATTATAACGCTTATATCAAATATTTTATGATAAAAGCTGATTTTCTTTGTATTTTATTTTTTTTATTTTTTTATTTTTTTTTTTTTTTTTTGTAATAACCTCATGTAGGTCACAAAAGACATATTTACATAAAATATAACATACGTCATATTATATACACAAAATGATTCATAATTCTATTTGATTGATTTAAAAAAAAGAAAAAAAGAACAATAAAACAAACATTCACACATATGTGTATAGTTCAAACTCACGATAATACTCCATTTCATTTTTCACAAGTTCTCTTTTTATATATGTATATATATATAAAAAATAAAAAAATATATATATATATATAAAAAAATAAAAAAAAAAGCCTAGTTGAAAAATGCTGTGAAATACTATATATACACACAAATACACACACACACACACACACACACACACATACACATACACATACACATATGATAAACTAATAATGTAAATTTTAAAATATATTCGATTCTGGCAAATTAGTTGATAAGACAATTTTCGAAGTTTTACACAATATACATATTGTTACATTTGTAAATCTAACTGCGAATTAATTTAATCGACTACTTATGGATCTGGTTTATAAATCTCGAGAATTGACCAATGACCGTGCTTATATATATATATAAAAAAATAAAAAAAAAAAAAAAAAAAAAAAAAAGAAAAAAGAAAAACAGATAGAGAGAGTTAACATAGACTTGCTTTAATTTAGTAATATATATATATATATAACAGTCAGTGGTGCGCAAATTATACTTCTATATAATTTGTGTTACAATTATATATTGTTAAATTTACAAATAGTAATATCACTTTTTTTTATAATTTATTTTCAAAAAGCAAACGAATATATATTATTTGTAAATATTATTATATTGGTTGTGTTATAAAAAAAAAAAAAAAAAAAAAAAAAAAAAAAAAAAAAAAAAAAAAAAAAAAAAGAAAATTGAAAACTATAGTCTGTATATCATATAATTGATATAACGCAATACGACCATCCTAAAACTATGCATAATACATAATATGTGATGATTTTGTGTTCAATGCATAGAAATATGAATATATTATCTTAACAATTTCTTAAAAAAGGTATACAATATGTGCAAGTATTATATAAAAAATACATTGCTACAAAAAATTATTTCGCACGCAAAAATATCTCATACATCCTGCTAAAATAGTTCAATCTACTTTTAATCGATAGAAGATATAAATCATATGACATTAAAATTATACGTTCACATTGATTAATTTTACAAAATCTTACGTGAACATAAAAGAACATATACACGTATAAACACTATAAGCTTTTATCGTCATATATATATATATATATTTAGCATGAATACAAAAGGCATAATGGTGATATGATGGCCATCATTGATTTAATGCAACAATTTTTAGATTGTATATTTTATTTTTATTAGAATTTCTGCATATCCAATAAAGTATATATTATATATTTTTACAATAATCATAATGAATCAATATAATCCATTACTGTTCAGTTTGCATCCAAGGTTGATAGTTCAAGTATTCACGTACTTTTTGTGAATACAGCCCCCATATATCCACACAAAGTGCTTTTTCCAAATTATAGGGCTACTCGTAAGGCCAAGGATGATTACTTTTTTTTGAGCAGGAATGAAAAGAAAAAAAAAAGAAATGAAGTTAAATTAAGAGAAAAAGAAAGACAACATAGATTTATCTAGTAGATTATTTTTCATTTCAGGATAATAATATTTTATCATTAGGAATCATAGCGTATATTGAACATCATGCATAATATTAACAATTCAATGAATTATATAATTTTGTTGTCATTGTTAATTACTTACAAGATGATATATATATTATTTTGTTTCATTAGTTTCACGATGAAATTTTGTAATGCTTAAACTCCTGTCTTGATTTCTTTGAATCATTCACTGAAAAGATAAAAATAAAATTGAGTTGAAATTTTCAATATAAATGTAAAAAAGACATTCCTTTGGTAATAAGTAAAAATAACTCAGTGAGGGCAAGTTGTAAGTCATGGATTATCATTATAGCGTATAAATATGTTTAACATCATAGTACTCTAATAATAAATATATAAGCGATAACAAAATCATTTTTCATATTGAATTTTATATATACTAACCTGAATTAAAAATTTTGTAGAAACGTTTATCAGCGATTCGATCTCAATTTGTCCGTCTAATAAAAAAAAAGAAATAAAAAAAAAAAAAAATGCATTGAAAATATATTCAAATAATTGTAGATCATGCATTTAACTACTATGTATGATACATCAGATAATTTTTTACATCAATATAAATATTTCAACCATATGCTTGTATTAATTCATCATAATAATTAAGCAAATAACACACACATATATATATATACGCATGTATACGAATATTAATTTTATAACTTACATTGCGTGATTACATACTTCTGGTTTATTATTATATCTTGAAGTTTTTCCTTTAAATCTGAAATAAAAATTCTCTCTGTTATATTTCCAAAATATTTTCATATTTAAATAGCTAAATTAAAAATCAATATCAGAACATTTCTAATCACCATTTATTAATGTAAGACAGGGATAACTTAATTAATCATCATGTAATAACGATATTAATATATAAATTTATACAAAAATATAATATTACATACAATATATTAAAATTAATTAATTTATTTTACTTACGCAAATGTCATTGTGATTTTCATATGTTATGTGGATTATCTTTCACATTGTAATATCATAATTCAATGTAATGTAAATGGTCAACCATTTTCCAAGTTATTTCCTATAAATAAGAAACATTTATATTAAAAAAGTATCCACCATTATAAGTTCATCCATATATATATAATATCATTTATACAAAATTCAGTTCTAATATATTCTTCATAAAAAGATCCGCTTGACTGGGGCATACAAATTAATATCATCATGTAAAATATTATTCTGTAATTATTACAAATTATACAAAATATATATTACAATATTTACCTAATGATTTCCTTGAATTGTATGAATGTGCCATTTTTAAGAGATGCATTCCCATAGAAATTTATTATCTGGGATATTTACCTATAAATAAAATGTACATATAAATTTTTAAATAATTATAATAATTAATGCAAACAAATACAAATTTTTGTCTTCTTTTAATATCAGTAAAAACTACTCTGTCATGGTATTCAGACTGGGGCAGTAAATTTTCATCATTTTTTATCATACCAATTAACTTAAAAATGATAGGAACGTACGTGCACATAATCTTAAAAGTATTAAAACGCAGTTGCATTGAAATGGGGCTAATGAAGGAAAACCAAAAAAGAAAAACAAAAAACCAAACAAACTAATACTCACTACAATTTTAACGTGGATAAGAACAAATTTTTGCAGTGTGAACATTATCCAGCATGGATGCTAGCCATGAAGCTGAAGCTTTATTAATCGCCATTATAAGGTGCGAAGAAGGAGAAGAAGAAGAAGAAGAAGAAGAAGAAGAAGGAAACGTTCAGCTTATATGCGGTTGCTAGAACGAAATGGAAAAACTAATTCGCAAAAAAAGAAGTTCTATTCTTATGCGGAAAGATTAATAATCAATTAAGAAATCAGCAGCATATGAAGATCATAATCAAGAAGTAATCATACGAACGAGACTAAAGATGTCTTCATCATCATTGAAATTAATTCCGGATACATCGTGCAGAAATATTTAAAGTGTTGTGAGATAAAAATATATTAATAAATTTAATCTAATAAAGCTATTTTATATGAACGTACTATTTTATGATAAATGCATGAAATAATACACGTGGATGAAGCTAGATTCTTAAATAACAAATTGAAAATGTTTTTACCAATGAATATGAATTCGTAGTTACGTAGAAAATTCTTCAGATGAATGTTGCTCCGTGGACAGCCAAAGATGAAATGAATGAGAATAGAACAGACTAAAGAGGAATGTCGAATTAACCGGAAGTATCGTTTCCTCGATCTTTCACTCTCATTGGTTAATATTTTTGATCAATTTACAATCGAACATGCAACGATATATCGCATCTTTTATTTTATCTATTTTTCGCACATATTTCTATTCCTTTTAATGTCAAAATTAAATGAATTATATTACACGATATTTACTTTAATTATTTCGATAGTGTTCTAAATTAAGATAAATACTTATACATTTGTCCGCATAGATGGCAATAGTGTTCTGTTTTAATATTAATTTTTTTTTTTTATTATTATTATTATTATAAAACGAAATACAAATGAGAGAATTTCTTATTCTATTATTTATTATTTTTTATAACATCATAAAATTAACTAATTACATCATGGTATATCTAATTTTGTATAGTTATTTTTATATAGTCCCTAGAATAAAAATTTATCTACTATAGAGTGGTAACATTGACTCTACATTTATATACATATATGTTTGCATTTATACATGAATTTTAAAAGGCGATGATCCAAATCTAGATACCTTTTATAACCTCCAAAGATCATACAAATATTTATTATTCAGTAAATTATTCTATTCTCTACTTAATGAAATGAGGTTTACATTTCACAGATTTTTCAATTACAAAGTACTTCACAATATAAGGTTGGTTATAGATAGAATAATTAAAAAAAGAAATGAAATATGAAAAATATATAATTTTAATAATATTTAATTACTTTATATAATATATAATAATGAAAATGTTTTCTTTAAAAAAATTTTCTTATTTTTTCATAGAAGTTTACATGTTTCGCAAAATGCAAGAAAAAGTAGTTACGATGGACCTGGGAAAACAACAGTAACCATACTCAATAAAAATGATACCTCTTTACTGTTAATAACCGGTTATAATCAAGTATGTCCATTAATTTTCAATTATTATATCTTACATGTGTTATAAAAATTATTTTTTGTTTTTCCTTTGAATAGACAGGATTCAAATTAAACAATGGTATCAATATAATTGGACCTACGGTTTTATTTTCCAAATCGTTATTATTTTGGAATGTTGCATCTGCAAAGGATATAAACAAAGATTCACTCATATTATTTAACATTTTAGAACCAAAGTTAGATTTATTAATAATTGGATTAGAAAAAAATTATGATCACAAATTTATTATCAATCTTAAACAAATCATAAAAGATTTGAATATAAACAGTGAAGTTTTACCAGTAGATCAAGCGTGTAGCGTATTCAACTTTGCAAATTTAGAAAAAAGGTATGTTGCCGCAGCTTTGATTCCATCTAAACAGAATATTATACTTCCTTCATTGATTGAACAAAATTTTAATAAAGATAATCAAGTAACATAATTTGAAAGTAATTAAATGATGTAAAGTTATAAGTTTACTGTTAATGATATTATTTTAAAATCATTAAGTTAAGCGAAGAAGTACGAGTATAGAGTACATTCATAAGTTTAATTATGAGATATTTTTATTAAGAACAATATGTATATTAAGTGACGTTATATAGAAAACAACGATTCTCTCTGTAAAATGAAGAAGAAAAAAAAAAAAAATATCTTATTATAATGTTAGAAAAAAATGTAAATGAAAATATATATGAGACGAGACAGTAAATTAAAAAATGTTTACCCAAAAAAATATGATCGAACAATTAATCATAATAACAACAACAGCAACAACAACAACAACAACAACAACAACAATAATAATAATAATAATAACAAAATAATAATGCAAAATTGGAGTGTTTGCGAAGTATTATTATGTAAAAGATAGACGTAAGTTCTCTGAGATTTAAAATTGCCACCTGATATGATTTAGTACCAAAGAGATATTGCAGATGGCGTTAGAGAAAAGAAGATAAGAATGCGATAAGGAACAGTCGATTCTATATATTTCGATAAATTTCATGAACGTAGAAAGAGATATGGCTGTCAACGCGGAAATCGGCGAACCTTAAAAGTCGAGGAGGCATCGCACTTATACGAAAACTCGGAATGCCAGTCGTGGTCGTTCCGGTAATGTCTTAAACTTTCGTCCGATCACGAAAAGGTACATATTGAGAGAAAGAGAGAGAGAGAGAGAGAAAGAGAGAGAGAGAAAGAGAAAAAAAGAAACAAAAAAAAGGTAATTCGAGCGCTCAAAAAAGTACATAAACACGATTTATTAATATGAATTTAATATTTAACATGGTAGAGGTAACATTTTTGCTTCGTAATAATAATAATAATAATAATAATAATAATAGTAATAATGGAAAAAAAAAAGTGTATTTAGTAGATGAATGTGACGAGCGAGTTTACAGATATCGATAGAAAATCTCGATTATTTCGTATTTCTCGGTGATTGATTGATTGATTGATGATGATGATTATGATGACGACGATGATGATGATGATGATGACGATGATGGGTAAGGAATTTGAAATTGAAAAAAGAAAAAAGTAATGGGAGGAAAGAAGGAAAAGGAAAGATATGGAGAAACGATTTCATTTTTATTATTGAATTCAAATGGATAAAAAATATTAGGACGAATTGTCCTATTTGAAAGGATATTCTATTCGAGATTTGTCGAGACGATGATGACGTCACTCGTTCTCTTCCTCTTTTCACTTCCACCTCTCTCTCTCTCTCTCTCTCTCTCTCTCTCTCTCTCTCTCTCTCTCTCTCTCTCTCTCTCTCTCTCATTCTATTTCTCTTTCTCTCTCTCTCTTTCTCTCTTTCTCTCTGTCTGTCTGTCTCGTTTGCGACAGGGTACAGGCGACGTCGTGACGCGTCGCCGCGTCTCGAGTGCTTTCAGTTTTTTTTTTTTTATAAGAGAGAACTTCGTAACGTATCGTAAGAGAACGGTTTCGTAGTAGCGAGATTTAGACGTTAGAAAGAAATAAAGAAATAAATAAATAAATAAATAAATAAATAAATAAATAAATAAGAACGTACATACGTACGTACGTACGTACGTACGTACGAACAACCGACCGACCGACCGACCGACCGACCAACCAACCAACCGAACGAACGAACGAACGAACGAAAGTAAGAAAGAAAGAAAGAAAGAAAGTAAGAAAATCAAAGTAAAGAAAAAGGAAAATGGAAGTCGTTCTTGGTCGATACTATATTTGAAGTATAAAACGAGTGTGGCGAAGCGTCGATCGAAAAAGATTTTCTTCTGGTTAGAACGAACGTTCACGACGTTCCTACTAGATCCGTGAGTATATTCATTGTCTCTTCTCGCGTTATATGGAGAAGGTTTTTTTTTTGTTTCTTTTTTTTTTCTTTTTGTTTTTTTTTATTTTTTTTATTTTTTTATTAAATAGAAAAAATAAAAGAAATAATAATAAAAAGGAAAAAAAAAGAAATAAATTAAAAAAAAAAAAAGAGAGAAAGAAAGGAAAAAAAAGACTCATTCGTCAAACGGTGCATCTCTATCGTTTGTCGTTTACGTTGTGGGCGCGCGCGCGTATGTGTGTGTGTGTGTTGTGTGAGGCGACACCAATTACGATCAAGAGAAAATGTGCGAGAGAGAGACAAGAAAAAGAGAAAGAGGGAAATAAAGTGTCGTCTTCTTTTCTCTTGAAATTGCAAAGGCCTCATCTCGGCCATATTAAATTATCTATTTTCAAACTTAATACATACATAAGTTCGTCACGAAGGACATTCAATGAAAAGGACGAAAAACAAGGAACGTGCGTTTCGAATTAATACGTTAGAAAAAAAAAAAGAAAATATCTCGCGAGTTAAATGTGTATGTGTGTACACATATATATATATATGTGTGTGTGTATAAAAATGTGTGCGTGTGCGCGTATATATCGTTTCACTGAAAAACGCCATAACCTATAATATCTTCGTCTACTGTATCTCTTTTGCTATTTTTATATTATGCTTTTTTCAAAGATTCGTACGCGCGTGCGCGCAACGTGTCTGTGTGTGTGTGTGTCTCGTGCTGTTTTTAATTATAACATATAAGATATATATTTTTATTTGAAATTTTCGACGGAAAAAAATTTTTCTTGCTTTCGTTCGACGATTTCACATTTTAGTAATTTTTCTCTCTCTTTCTCTCTCTCTCTCTCTTTCTCTCTTTCTCCCTCTCTCTCTCTCTCTCTCTCTCTATCTATCTCGGATGATACGCATTTCGTGTTTCGAATAATAATAGGTTTTAGAAGAGGTAGGAGTTAGTTAAGCACATATCGTAAGTGGTAGAGGTGAAGATCGATTACATTTGCTCTCTATGCGAACGGTACGGCTGCGTGATAGAAATGATATAGAAACGCGCTATTAAAGGTTTTGCTTTCGATTTACCCTCGTAATCTCTTTTTATATCTATGTATGTTCGATTCGAGTCGATACAAGTGGTTTTATAGGTTAACTTTTCTCTAACGGTTACGTTTTATACGACGAAAACATTAACTTCAATAATAATAATAATAATAATAATAATAATAATAATAATAATAATAATAATAATAATAATATTGTATAAATTTAAATGTCAATTGAAAATTTTGTATTTGAAATTATAAAATATTATTATTATTATTATTATTATTATTATTATTATTATTATAATATTAGATTTGCGTAAAGTGTATCAAGTGTAATGCAAATACGTTTTATAGGTTATCTTTTCTTGAAACGATAAAAAAAGTTCGAAAAGTAGAAAGAAAACGCGTTGTCGAATGGAAAGGTTGCGTAATTAAAAGAAAAAAGAAAAAAAAAAAAGAAAGAAAGAAAGAAAGAAACACACAAGGAAAAATAATGCATAATTCTTTAATTGAAAGTTATAAAAGTGTATGAAAAAGTTTTTATAACGTTGTGACATTCGAGTGGATTTGTCGTTTTAATAAATTATCCTTCCTCAAACGGTAAAAAATAGTTTAAAGAACAAAAAGATACATGGCGTAATTAAGAAATTAATGGATTATTTTCGTGTTGAAGGATAGAAAATCTTTGTGAAAAAAGTTTATAACATTGTAATATTCCTTTTTTCTTTTTTTATAGGTTATCTTTTTTTTTTGTTTTTGTTTTTTTTTTTTTTTTTTTTTGAAAATATTAAAGTACGACAAAAGGATACATAACGCAAACGTTTTTAGTAAAAACATTTTATTAAATTAAATTAAAGAATAACAAAAATGTTTAAATATAGAAATAGGAAAATTTTTGAAAGAGCCTGTAGTGTTACGATAATCTTGGATATAAAGTCAAAGTCGTTGTTGAGAATAGATAAATAGATAGATAGATATATACTTACGTACATACATACGGTATGTACATACCGGTGTGTCGCATTGCCACGTGCACGACGTGCCGATTGGACGATGAGAATGTAAATATCAGTTGGTACTGAGTTAACCGGTCGAACGGACACGTTTCGTTTCAGAATCATTTCGTGTTTCTCTTCGAGAAACTTTACTACATAGGATTAGTACATAGACAAAGAAATTAGTTTGATCTCCTTGAACTTTTGTTGTGTACGTATATATATATATATATATTACTCCATAACTTAGTATATAGAAAAATAATTAATTGGATTCTTTTGTTGGACTTTTGGTATGTACGCATGTGTGTACTTGTATATGTGTGTGCGTGTATATATATTTGATGCATTTGTATGTACATCCGTAACTTGGGTCGATACCGTAAATCGTGCATATTACGAATGCGGATGAACTTTAAATCATTTAAAATGGAGTCAAAAAATATTTTTACTCATTCATTCTCGTTGTAAGTTTCGTTTTTATTTATTTATTATTTTTTTTTTTTCAAAGGTTCTTTGTATCCACATATTTGTCATTATTTTGTCTTTAAATTTTTTTCGAAGAATAATGGATCGTATGAAGGATGGTATTAGGAAATTGATTACGCAATCCCAATTATAATCCGCCATCTTACATAATAGTATTATTCTACTCGAAGCCGCCATTGATTTCTCCCTCTCCCTCCCCATGTTCCTCTTTTTATTCTTTTAATCCCATATTCTAATTGCGTTAACTTAAAACTCGTTTAGAAGTTGACATAGTGTCGCATATTAGAAGCGTTCGTAGAGATCAACTTGCTACAGAATTTATAAATAATATATTACTTGTGCTGATCTTCTATCATATATATATATATATATATATATATATATATATATATATATATATATGCATAAATTATTGATTTCTTCGACGAAATTATATGAAATTAATTTAGGATGAATTACAAATGATAGATAAAAAAATTTAGCATTGGGATTGTGACACGAATATATCAATCGAGATGTACTTTATATTTATTTACAGTTAATAATTCGTGTAGGATTTTTTTGAGTGACAATAGTTACCTTTTATACACAGTAAATAGTTTAACATTGAATAACTACGGTATATAATCATTAAGTGTACAGCGTATAACGAGTATTCAATGTTGGATCACTTTAGTATACAGTGTACATTTAAATGTTGGATAACTATAAAACTATTAAATGTTGGATATTGGGTAACTATATCATTAGCGAGGAATGGAGTTAAGATTTAATTAAACAAACAATATTTTTTTTTTTTTTTTTTTTATAGAGAGCGAAGAAAGAAGGAAAGGAAGAGGAAGAAAAGAAAGAAAAGATAGCAAAGTGCAATGTCGTATCACCGCGGAGGTCAAACGGGCTCCGTAGCCGTGTCTTACAGTACCAGCCCAATGGCACCACATTCACCTAGCAGGCGATATTCAAGTGGCTCGACATCTTCGAGTACAACAACATCCGGAGTTGGAGGTGGTGGTGGTGGTGGTGGTGGCGGTGGTAGTAGTGGTGGTGGTGGTGGTGGTGGAGGTGCTAGTAGCAGCAGTGGAGTAACCGGTAGTGGAGGGAGCAGTAGTTCAACGTCCAAGTACAATTACACCTCAAGAGATACCCCATCGTCGCTTCGAGATCGTTCGAGCATTTATTCATCGTCCCCATCATCGACGATTCCTAGTCTTCGTTCCAGCTACGTTTCCGATTGCAGAAGATCTTATTGCCAAACTGGAAGGTAAGCCATCGTTTATGTTCATCGACATGACGCCAAGAAATATCAAGAAAATTTGAACTCGGTCCAATTGCGTCGTCGCTCTTTTCTTCATTTATTCACTTATTTACTTTCTTTTTTTATTTTTTATTTATTTATTTTTTTTATTTTTTTTCTTTTTTTTTTATTTTTATTTTTTTTTCTATATTATTTTTCCCTTTTGATTTTATACGATCGAAAAACACTTTATCAGATGTACGCGTTTTGTTAGGATCATAAGTATTTCGCAAGTCATTGCAATCTAAAGTCATTGTTCTTAGCATAATGCAACCAAGTCGTAATCAAAGTCAATGTAGTCGATAATAAAGTCAAATGAGTTGGTACGCGTTGATAACAGGAAAAGAAAAAATCCTGTTAATTAAAATAGAATGACGGAGGAACATTGTTAGATATTAACAATGTTGAGAAAAAGTGTTTGTCGGTCTACCGATTCTTATCGATAATTTTAGTTCTCTCACAGTTTTTTCTTTTTTCTTTCTTTCTTTCTTTCTTTCATTTCTTTCGATTTTCTCGCGTATTTTCTCGCGGTGTAATAATCGGTGGAAGGGTAGTAGCAAAATTTAGTACTGCGATTGGTGGAGTGGGAGGAGGGGTAGGTAGGTTTATGCAAGAGAAAAAGAAAAAAAGAAAGAAAGGAAAAACAAAGAAAAGCGCTTACGAAACGACGTTAAAATCGTTTCTGATCGATCGGCCCGCAGTTACTACTCATCGGCTACGACCAGCAGCCTCCGCAGGAGCTACTTGTCGGAGTACAGCCGACCTCAGTGCTCACCCTCAAGGTGAGCCTTTGCACGTGGCGGCGTCAGTAAGCAGCGTTCACCCCCCTAAAAAAATCACCATTTTATTATTATTTTTTTTTTTTATATTTTTTTATTTTTTTGCGTACTTTATCTAACACGCACATATAAATAACTCGTTCACGACGAAGACATTTTCGTTTTTATTTTATTTTATTTCTTTATTTCACTTTATTTCCAATTTTTTTTTTGTTTGAAAATGTTGTGGCTCACCTAGACATCGCCGAATCGACCCGATTCGACTCGATTGGTCTTAAAATTTCAATGGAAATTTAATGGTCGATCATATGCTTGCACCTTTTATGCTTTAGAAAATCGAACGTTCGAGGTAAAGAACGATAAGCTTGTAGAGAAAAGGTAAATGCATGGAACTTTGTATCACTTTTTGCTATGAGTTTTGTGTGACTATATTTTTTAACAATATATCATTAAATATCTCACATAGGACATACGCATAGACGAATAGAGAGTTAGAATATATCATTGGTATATGCTATCTTTTTGCGGATACTTACGAATATATATATATATATATATATATATATATATATATATATATATATATATATATATATATTTGTAGATGTATGCAAAAAAGCAATCGTTGGCCAGAGTCCACGAGCAAATAAAGGAACGCGCGTACGTTCGTAATATTAAGATCGGACAAATATTACAGGTCTTCGTACGGCGGTGATACAACTGGCATCGGTGGAAGCGTCTGTAGTACTTTGGCAAACGGCATCAGTAGCATCGGTTCCAGCGGGCGATACACATCGTCAACATCATCTTCCTACCTATCATCTTCAACCGCTTCCTCGAGGGATCGTACCTTGGAATCGTCGGCGTTACGTCGAGACATTAACGCGGACATCATTGGAAGGTGTTCGCCTTTGGTTTACGTACCTAGCGTCGTCCGTCACTCTTCTCAGAGTGGCACTCATCGTTGGAAGCAACAGCAACATTCGAAGGCAGCAACAACAGGGATTGGTGGTTCGTCTTTGAACGAATTGATCGGAGGGGAGGAACACGAAAGGAAACGAACGGGAAGTGTACGTCCCGAATCTTCACTCTCCTCGTCTTCCTCGTCGTCATCGTCGTCCGCCATCACAGGTGGTGGGCTTTGGTCGAGGTCTAAGGGGAGGCCACCTATCGCCGGCAGCACGGTGCTCACCACCGGTACGGGGCATGCACGCGCCCACAGCGCAACATCGTCCGTCGAGGTAACAATCGCCGGTCATCGGGCTGACGAGGACGATGACGACGACGAAATCGACGACGACGATGACATTGAGAACGACGACGACGACGAGGACGAGGAAGACGACGGCGACGTCAACGACGATAATGATTACGTGAACGACGAGGACGAGAACGAAGACGAGACTAACGAGCGCGATAACAACGACGACGACGACAACAACGAGGACGACGAGGACGACGAGAACGAGGACGTTGACGCGGCCATTGGGCCAGCGAATGTAAATGACGACGATGACGACGACGAGGACGACGATCGACGGAACGACAATAACAACAATAACGCCAACGGCAATCTCGACGGGAGCGGCAACAGGAATAATACTAGCAGCAATTCGGGCTCCAACGAGGAGGACGGATACGTCTACGAGCAGCTAGATTATAACGACGATCCGCGGCGCGACGATGACGACGCGGATAACAATCGTATCAACCGCCATCACCACCAACGCTCTCGTCGTTCGGTCAGCAACAAACAACGTATCTCCGTTTCCCCGACGGCCGAACGTAATGTCGCGGCGACCATAGCTGCCGCCATTGTTGCTGCCGTTAGACCGCGTAACGAGGGTGGTGCTGGCGGTGGTTTGATTCCTGTTAATCTTGACCTGCTAACTAATCTCGCTAATACTAATCCAAATAATACCACCGAGCATTTGATCGATAACGACGAGCAGAGTAGTCAACACAATTCCTCGCTCCAGTCGGACGATTTTGAGATCGACGATAACGAGGTAATACGTGGGGTCAACGAGATAGCCTCGATCGAGCCGGTCGATACTTATCGTCGGAATGTTCTTTCCTCTGGAAATCACGACATATTGGACGGTCTCAGTACCAAAAGCAATTCGCCCGTTAATCCATTCGATATCGAGGAAAATGACTTTGAGGTCAGGACTTTGTATACCGTACTTCAGAACGGTCTGTCGGGAAGAAACTCCGATGACCATTCCGACGATCCGTCCGTACCTTCGACGTCCAGCCGGCAGGAAGGACATTTCTCTGGAATCGACAGGAACACGGGGGCATCCGCTAGTGGTGGTCTTACCTCATCTTCCCCTGCAACACCTAACACGAGACAGCAAAGTCTCTATCGCGCTGGCAACGAGCAGTTCGTGAGTGTCGTTTTGATAATATCAAAGCTATCTACGTCGCTTCTCTATGGATCAAATTTGTTAAAGGAGGAAAAGTTGAAACCCTCCTTTTATTATCGGTTGGTATCGTCCTTTTAACCCTTTGTGTTTTGCTTTTCCTCCTCTCTGTCTATCTATCTATTTCTATCTCTCTTACTCTTACTATTAATCATACGATATTATATAAAAATAAGAACGAATACGACGAACTATGTTATTAAAGGCTCGAACGATGTATAACCCACCATGTGTAAAAAATATTCTTATTGTGAACGTATTAGTTTCGATACAAATTTCTTACTACGGATACTGTCTGTCGTTATGTAACATAGTTCTATGTTGTATAAGTCGTGTCCTCTCCACCACGCCCGTCATCTGTCGTATTACGTTGCTGTTTTATCTAACAGCTGCTATCTAACAAATATCAACCCATCAGATCATCCAACTTCTCGATCATTGGCGATCTAATATAAATTACTTAGGATATAACATTTGTTTAGGAAAATTTGATAAAATCTTATATAGACTGATCTCTTATCGTTCGATCAATTCTTATTCTTATATCTTCGTATCTTCGTCAAATTAAGATTCTCTATGTTTTTTGTATGTTAAAATTACGAGAGAGAAAGAGAGAGAGAGAGAGAGAGAGAAAGAAAGGGAAAAAAGAAAAAAAAAACAAAGAAAGACTAAGATTCAGTGGTGAGAAGAAAGAGGGCGTAGCTCGAAAAATATATTCACTTTGATTACCTCGTTCCAAACTCGTGTTACGAAACTTTGCACGTTTACTACTGGGTCCAAGTCACCAACTAGAGACTTTCATCTGCTAACCGTGAGCACCTCCGATTTTTATTTATAGATCGGAGCTCCTTTGCTACTTCTCTCTTGCTCTCTCTCTCCCTCTCTCTCTCTCTCTCTCTCTCTCTCTAGGAAATAGAGTTGCCAAGTAGAAATATGCCCATCGCGTATCATTCTCAAAGTGTTATTCGCGTTTCTTTAATCGATCGTTGTTTCATTATCATTCACAATCTTGAATATTGATTTAATCGCGATAAAAGACAAAAAGAAAAAAAAAAAAAAACAGAAAAAAAGAAGAAGAAAAAAAGACGACACGTGGCTAGGTTTTCTTCTTCTTTTCTTTATTTTGTGACTTTATTCGAAGAAGGTAGTCTAAACTAGACAGTTGAAATATTTTCCGCTTAGCGAGATAACTACTACGTCTCTCTTTAAAAATGAAGGTCACCACCATTTTCTTCTCGAAAAC